AAACGTAGATGCCACTGGTTCTTCATGTTTTGCAGATGTAGATGGCACTGATTCTTCATGTTCTGCAAATATAGATGCCACTGGTTCTTCACGTTCTGTAGATGTAGATGCCACCGGTTCTTCATGTTTTGCAGATGTAGATGCTACTGATTCTTCATGTTCTGCAGATGTCGATGCCACTGGTTCTTCATGTTCTGCAGATGTCGATGCCACTGGTTCTTCACGTTCTGTAGATGTAGATGCCACCGGTTCTTCATGTTTTGCAGATGTAGATCCCACCGGTTCTTCATGTTCTGCAGATGGAGATGCCACTGGTTCTTCATGTTCTGCAGATGTAGATGCCACTGATTCTTCATGTTCTGCAAATGTAGATGCCACTGGTTCTTTACGTTCTGTAGATGTAGATGCCACCGGTTCTTCATGTTTTACAGATGTAAATGCTACTGATTCTTCATGTTCTGCAGATGTAGATGCCACTGGTTCTTCATGTTCTGCAGATGTAGATGCCACTGGTTCTTTATGTTCTGCAAACGTAGATGCCACTGGTTCTTCATATTCTGCAGATGTAGATGCCACTGGTTCTTCATGTTCTGCAGATGTAGATGTCACTGATTCTTCATGTTCTGCAAATGTAGATGCCACTGGTTCTTCATGTTCTGCAGATGTAGATGCCACTGGTTCTTTATGTTCTGCAAACGTAGATGCCACTGGCTCTTCATGTTCTGCAGATGTAAATGCCACTGGTTCTTCACGTTCTGTAGATGTAGATGCCACCGGTTATTCATGTTTTGCAGATGTAGATCCCACCGGTTCTTCATGTTCTGCAGATGGAGATGCCACTGGTTCTTCATGTTCTGCAGATGTAGATGCCACCGATTCTTCATGTTCTGCAAATGTAGATGCCACTGGTTCTTTACGTTCTGTAGATGTAGATGCCACCGGTTCTTCATGTTTTACAGATGTAAATGCTACTGATTCTTCATGTTCTGCAGATGTAGATGCCACTGGTTCTTTATGTTCTGCAAACGTAGATGCCACTGGTTCTTCATATTCTGCAGATGTAGATGCCACTGGTTCTTCATGTTCTGCAAATGTAGATGCCACTGGTTCTTTACGTTCTGTAGATGTAGATGCCACCGGTTCTTCATGTTTTACAGATGTAAATGCTACTGATTCTTCATGTTCTGCAGATGTAGATGCCACTGGTTCTTTATGTTCTGCAAACGTAGATGCCACTGGTTCTTCATATTCTGCAGATGTAGATGCCACTGGTTCTTCATGTTCTGCAGATGTAGATGCCACTGGTTCTTCATGTTCTGCAAACGTAGATGCCACTGGTTCTTCATGTTTTGCAGATGTAGATGGCACTGATTCTTCATGTTCTGCAAATATAGATGCCACTGGTTCTTCACGTTCTGTAGATGTAGATGCCACCGGTTCTTCATGTTTTGCAGATGTAGATGCTACTGATTCTTCATGTTCTGCAGATGTCGATGCCACTGGTTCTTCATGTTCTGCAGATGTCGATGCCACTGGTTCTTCACGTTCTGTAGATGTAGATGCCACCGGTTCTTCATGTTTTGCAGATGTAGATCCCACCGGTTCTTCATGTTCTGCAGATGGAGATGCCACTGGTTCTTCATGTTCTGCAGATGTAGATGCCACTGATTCTTCATGTTCTGCAAATGTAGATGCCACTGGTTCTTTACGTTCTGTAGATGTAGATGCCACCGGTTCTTCATGTTTTACAGATGTAAATGCTACTGATTCTTCATGTTCTGCAGATGTAGATGCCACTGGTTCTTCATGTTCTGCAGATGTAGATGCCACTGGTTCTTTATGTTCTGCAAACGTAGATGCCACTGGTTCTTCATGTTCTGCAGATGTAGATGCCACTGGTTCTTCATGTTCTGCAGATGTAGATGTCACTGATTCTTCATGTTCTGCAAATGTAGATGCCACTGGTTCTTCATGTTCTGCAGATGTAGATGCCACTGGTTCTTTATGTTCTGCAAACGTAGATGCCACTGGCTCTTCATGTTCTGCAGATGTAAATGCCACTGGTTCTTCACGTTCTGTAGATGTAGATGCCACCGGTTCTTCATGTTTTGCAGATGTAGATCCCACCGGTTCTTCATGTTCTGCAGATGGAGATGCCACTGGTTCTTCATGTTCTGCAGATGTAGATGCCACCGATTCTTCATGTTCTGCAAATGTAGATGCCACTGGTTCTTTACGTTCTGTAGATGTAGATGCCACCGGTTCTTCATGTTTTACAGATGTAAATGCTACTGATTCTTCATGTTCTGCAGATGTAGATGCCACTGGTTCTTTATGTTCTGCAAACGTAGATGCCACTGGTTCTTCATATTCTGCAGATGTAGATGCCACTGGTTCTTCATGTTCTGCAAATGTAGATGCCACTGGTTCTTTACGTTCTGTAGATGTAGATGCCACCGGTTCTTCATGTTTTACAGATGTAAATGCTACTGATTCTTCATGTTCTGCAGATGTAGATGCCACTGGTTCTTTATGTTCTGCAAACGTAGATGCCACTGGTTCTTCATATTCTGCAGATGTAGATGCCACTGGTTCTTCATGTTCTGCAGATGTAGATGCCACTGATTCTTCATGTTCTGCAAATGTAGATGACACTGGTTCTTCATGTTCTGCAGATGTAGATGCCACTGGTTCTTTATGTTCTGCAAACGTAGATGGCACTGGCTCTTCATGTTCTGCAGATGTAGATGCCACTGGTTCTTCGTGTTCTGTAGATGTAGATGCCACTGATTCTTCATGTTCTGCAGATGTAGATGCCACTGATTCTTCATGTTCTGCAGATGTAGATGCCACTGGTTCTTCACGTTCTGTAGATGTAGATGCCACCGGTTCTTCATGTTTTGCAGATGTAGATGCTATTGATTCTTCATGTTCTGCAGATGTAGATGCCACTGGTTATTCATGTTCTGCAGATGTAGATGCCACTGGTTCTTCATTTTCTGCAGATGTAAATGCCACTGGTTCTTCACGTTCTGCAGATTTAGATGCCACTGGTTCTTCACGTTCTGCAGATGTAGATGCTACTGATTCTTCATGTTCTGCAGATGTAGATGCCACTGGTTCTTCATGTTCTGCAAACGTAGATGCCACTGGTTCTTCATGTTTTGCAGATGTAGATGTCACTGACTCTTCAGGTTCTGCAAATGTAGATGCCACTGGTTCTTCACGTTCTGTAGATGTAGATGCCACCCGTTCTTCATGTTTTGCAGATGTAGATGCTACTGATTCTTCATGTTCTGCAGATGTAGATGCCACTGGTTCTTCATGTTCTGCAGATGTAGATGCCACTGATTCTTCATTTTCTGCAGATGTAGATGCCACTGGTTCTTCACGTTCTGCAGATGTAGATGCTACTGATTCTTCATGTTCTGCAGATGTAGATGCCACTGGTTCCTCATGTTCTGCAGATGTAGATGCCACTGGTTCTTCACGTTCTGTAGATGTAGATGCCACCACCGCCATCTGTTGCGCGGCGGTTGAACTCACGACTCTCGGTCTGAACGGGCATGGAGACCCATAGATACACATAACGTAGAGATACATGAGAGACAAGCCACAGTCGTGAGATTATGGCCATGCAACACAAACTATGGCCCATAATTTAAACCCGTAGACACCCAGAGATAACATAGAGATATAGAGACCCATAGAAATACAGACCATAGAGACACACAGAGACAAAGATATTCAGAAACATATAGAGATACATTATAGACAAGCCACAGTAGTGAGATTGTGGCCATGCAAATGACTATATGGCTCATATAGTAAACCCATAGAGACTCATAGAGATACATTAGAGACAAGCCAGAGCTGTGCGATTCTTGCCATACCACTCGCACTACGTACTGCACAGTAAACCCATAGAGACATAGCGACATACATAGACACTCATAGATATACATTAGAGACAAGCCAGAGTAATGGGATTGTGCCCATTAAACTAACAGTATGGCCCATATAATAAGCCCATAGAGACTCATGGAGATACGCAGAGACCCACAGAGATAGAGACACGTAGGGATACACATAGACCCATAGACATACATTCGAGTTAAGCCACAGCGGTGAGATTGCGGCCATGAAACCCACAATATGGCCCAATAATAATAAACCCATAGAGACTCATGGAGATACGTAGAGACCCATAGAGATAGAGACATGTAGGGATACACATAGACCCATAGATATACATTAGAGATATGCCATTGTGGCCACGCAACTCACACCACGGACTCCACAGCAAACCCACTGCGGGCTGCGTTCCTTCAATGGGGGAGGAGGGGAAAGAGCGACACGGCACCAACTCTTTCTTCTCTCTGCTCAAGGCCTCTCTCTCGTCGTGGCTGGCCAGGCCTCGACATCGGCATTCAGCTCGCGGACAACACTTTGCTGCTGCTGCTGCTGCTGTCATCATGTGCTTAAGAATAGCCGGGAACATTCAACGCAGGAAGCGTTGGTGGTGACAAGTGTTGCGCGAAGCACGGTCACACACTTAACAAGTGGCAAAAGTCGGCACGCAGCTAATTAGGGGGCAAGATGCAAGAGGCAGGTTGACATCAACAAGGAGCATCACAATGACGAGATGTTAACTACCTCGCCTGGTATACAGGAGGTGTCGTGGGTTCGATCCAGACCCTGACGATGTCTGCTGCTGCTGTATATTTGGAGTTTGCGGTGTTTCTACCCCACACCCCCACCCTCCTTAACCCCGCCCACCCCACACCCCCCACCCTATTTAACCCCGCCCACCCCAAACCTTCCACCCTCTTTAACCCCGCCCACCCCAAACCCTCCACCCTCCTTAACCCCGCCCACCCCAAACCCTCCACCCTCCTTAACCCCGCCCACCCCAAACCTTTCCACCCTCCTTAACCCCGCCCACCCCAAACCCTCCCCCCAGCCACGCCCACCCCCCCCAAATCAACCAATGGGGGCGCAGCTCGCCCGTGGCTTCATTCAAACTTCGAGCCCGGGCGGCAGCGGCGGTGGCGGCGGCGCCTCAGGGGGGAGAGAGGCCGAGGCGACGTTTCAAGTGAGGGACGGAAGGAAGGAAGGCAAAAGTTCAACAACAACACAAGTTCGCCATGGTTTGAAACATCCTCCGTCGGCTGTGAAACAAAGAGACAAACAGAGTCATGGATAAAACGTCGTACACCGCGGGCCCCTACAGAGCAACTAAACTCGTGAGTGTCGTCTCTGAGCGAGGTTGATGTTGTCGACGTTGATTATCGATTCGTCGCCGCCGCGTTCTGTCGGTGGTTAGTTTTTTATATAAGTTGATTTAAAAACAAATCGATCCATCGATAATAACGATGTTTAGATTTGGTAGCGCGCATTCGTCTCGACGGCCGTAACGCCGTCGCTGATTGGGCCGCTCGTGCCTCACACCCCTCCCCCCGTCGTCGTCGGCCAATCATGGGGCGCCGTCTCCTTCCCGGGGGGGCGGGGCGAGGCGGTCTCGACCAATCACGGCCGTCGCCACGCTTATGCATGTTGGAGAAAGTAAAAGGCATCCGCGGAGCTTGGCTCTATCCACTGCTGGACGAAGGCCTCTCCCCTAAACCGTCGGACGCGCGCGATGCAGCGATCCGCCCGGTAGAGCCTTGGCGCGTTCTTAGCTCCCTTACCCCACTGCGCTATTAATGTCCACGATGGGGGGGGGAGCTGAGTGGCCAGGCTCGCTTCTGCAAAAAAAAAGTTTAATAATCTCAGCGGGGGGAGCTTATATTAATTTACTTTTAAATTGGATATATTTTTTAAGTGATTTGTTTACCTTGTCACTACTATAGTGCTTTTGTACTGTTTGTTGTATAAATGTCCACGTGATGATGATGACAAGCCACTCTGTCGAGATATTTCGTTTGCGGATGGCCAGGCTCGGTTTTGCACAAAATGAAATAAAAGTTACTAAGCTCCGTGGTGGAGAGCTTTGCCTGCTAAGATTAAAACAGATGAGTTTCGTTTTATTTGGATATATTTTTAAAGTTATTTGTTTAACTTTCTTGTAACTGTGGATTAATTGTCTTGTGTTTGTACGGTTTGTTGTTGTAACGCTCTTACCACGTGCCCCATTACTGGACATCTGTGATTAAGAGCTTTATAGCTTTTCGGATTCCTCCTGAACTATCAATATTCTGATTCTGAACCCAGCACGGAGCAGCAGCAGCAGAGCGCAGTCTCCGTGCCTTGAGATTATTTTGGCTGCTATAAATGTCCACAAAAAATAAGTTAATAGCTCAACAAGGCTTTTCCTGCTAGGATGGGGATGATTTATTTTCATGTTGTTTGGGTGATTTGTTTACCTTTCATGTAACTTTGCACGAACTATCGTGTTTATTGTTTGTTGTAACGTTCTTATCCTGTGCCCCATACTGGACCTCTCTGAAAAAGAGCTTTAAAGCCGCATCAGAACATCAATAATAGGCCGCCGATACTGTACCACATCCACCCTTCTCATTAAAACGAATCTGTTTTTATTTTACCAGGTAAACCCCAATAAGCCTATGTATGTCTTTTTCAAAAGCGACCTGGCCGAAGGTGGCTTATCATCGTCACGTGGACATTTATAGCAGCATCGTGACGTCGATTCTAAATCTGGAGGGGAAAAACCGGAGAACCCGGAGAAAAATCCACGTGGAGAGAGAGACACCGCAAACTCCAAACATTCAGCAGGCATCGTCAGAGTTGGGGTCGAACCCACGACCTCTGGAATACCAGGCGAGATAGGGTACCACGGCGGTGAGATGTAAACTAAGACACGGGCCACAGTGGTAGTGCGATTGTGACTATGCATCCAAAACTGTGGACCTCTTTAGTAAAACCCAGAGATACATACATCAGTTCGGTTGGCTACGTACTGTGCGGAAGAAGTAACAATATACATGGCGACTCCGAGAGATGCTGTACGGTGGGAACCCTTTTTCTGCCAAGGGCCATTTGGATATTTATAACATCATTCGCGGGCCATACAAAATTATCAACTTAAAAAATAGCCCGTTATATTTGGTCAAACATTTAATAGACTCACCCCTAATGTGATTGCTGGAACAGACCAAATTATTTTGCGGACCTTATACGGCCCGCGGGCCGAACGTTCCCCACCCCTGTGTACATAGAAACCCATAGAGACACATTTAAGACAAGCCACAGGGGTGAGTTTGTGGTCATGCAGACGAAACTATGGACCTCTATGGTAAACCCAGAGATACATAGAGATGTATGGAGACTCAGAGGTACTCGACATAGCAAACCAAGGAGACGCATTCAATTTATGGCAGCCAAAAACTCTAATCGCATGTTTCTAAATGTTAGAGGGAAAAGCCGGAAGACCCGGAGACAATTTCACATGACCTGGGGGGAGAACGACACGCAAACTCCAAATATACAGCAGCAGGCGTCAGGGTCGGGATCGAACCCAAGACGTCCTGTACACCAGGCGAGGTAGTTAACATCTCCTAGCCACCGTGATGATGGAGAGAGAGAGAGACACGCAAACTCCAAATATACAGCAGCAGCAGGCGTCAGGGTCGGGATCAAACCCACGACCTCCTGCACACCAGGCGAGGTAGTTAACATCTCCTAGCCACCGTGATGATGATGAGAGAGAGAGAGACACGCAAATTCCAAATATACAGCAGCAGGTGTCAGGGTCGGGATCAAACCCACAACCTCCTGCACACCAGGCGAGGTAGTTAACACCTCCTAGCCACCGTGATGATGATGAGAGAGAGACACGCAAACTCCAAATATACAGCAGCAGGCGTCAGGGTCGGGATCAAACCCACGACCTCCTGCACACCAGGCGAGGTAGTTAACATCTCCTAGCCACCGTGATGATGAGAGAGAAACACGCAAACTCCAAATATACAGCAGCAGGCGTCAGGGTCGGGATCAAACCCGTGTCCTTCCGTATACCAGGCGAGGTAGTAAACATCTCACCACACACGCCGGTCGTTGGTGAGTGATATCTGAACGCACATCTCGGATAACGCCTGAACGTGGTGTTGCAAGCCGTGGCCGGGAATCAAGCTTGGGTTGCCGCTGTGTACAGAGCGCAGTGTGCGTGGAGCTATTACCGCTCCCACGTTGCCACAGTATTCGTAAGATGCTGTGTATACGACAGTGGTTTAGTGGCCAGGATTTCTGCATTCCTATGGAAACTGCCATGGTGACGATTATAAAATGTTCTTTTCAGGAGTCGGGATTGAGTTGATTGGATATTTTATGGTAATTAATTCACCCCCTCTCTCTCTATTTAAGGCCTCGACACAGAGGCATTGGGTCTCTGTGTGTCTATGTTGTGTGTCTCTCTCTGTGTCTGTTGTCTCTCTCTGCTTGTGTGTCTGTCTGTGTGTCTCCGTGTCTGTGTTTTGTCTCTCTCTCTCAAATGTAGTTCTACCTGATGACGGTTGCTTGTGTTGCAATTGAAACGTCGTACTCTATTATTTAGTTTATTTTCTTTCTACGTGACTTTACCGAAAGAACCAAAGAGTAATTCCTGCAGTCACGAAAGCTTCAAATCAAGTTTCATTCAACGATAATGGCTTTTCCTGGGAAAGGAAACTTAGTTTCCTGAAAACAAGAGGGTAACACTCAAAGGTCCGAAATCAGAATCTGTATATAGATTTGAGGAATCCGATGAGCTGTGAAACTCTTTTTCACATGTCCAGTGTGGGGCGAGTCAGAAAGTTACAACAACAAACGATAGAAAAACCGATCGGAATGCAATGTATAACAAAGGTGAGCAAGTCACGGAAAATAACAATAAAAATTGCTAAAGTACATTAGTTAAAATTGCAAAAGTCTAGCAATTCCTGCTGATGTTTCAACAATAAATGCAAGCTTGGGAAAGGCAGACCACAGCAAGACAACATCACACAGTAGTCCCTCAATTAAACTACACAATAAAATTGAACTCTCGGTACACGTGTAAGGATCAAAGTTACAAAGCACATTGGCAAATCGTGGTTTTGTATCCAGCGCTAATCTTCTCATTTGAATTGTAACGCAGAATCGCAGAATGAGAGGAGGGCCTAGGTTAACCGTTACGTGTGCACCGTTCATCTCGTTTAACTCCCCCTCTTCACGAAACCGATCTCAAACTGGGCATCGCATCTCTGAAAACCTACCGGCGTTCTCTTGTGAAAGAGAGCTTCGTCGCCCCTTCGGATTTCCCAAGTCTAAACGAAGAGTCCGATTTGGATCGACGGCGTTTGTGGGCACCCCAAAGTGATTGGCGTCTCCACTATGCCATCTCTGCCCTCATTTAAAGCGACTTTATCATTAACGTCACCGAACTTTTGAGTGCGAACGCTATTTCGCAACACGATTGCTATTACGTTTAGCCTGTTTGTTTTTTTTATTTTTAATCTGTAATTACGGAATGCTTCGATGTCGTCTGCCGGCCGAGTCAAACAAAATCTGATTCCGATTCTGATCTCTCTTTACCCACCTGGCCACCCCCCCCCACCCCGCCCCCACCCCCACCAAACCCCCCCTCCCCGGGTCCCAACAGTGGAACGAGGTGACGTCCCAGTTCCGCGCGTCGGTGCCGCTACGGAGGCACCGCGCGGGGCTGCGCTCACACGCGCGCTGCTTCACGGCGGCGGAGGCGTGCGACAGCCTCCTCTCCGTGCTGCGCGCGCACGCCGCCTTCGGGCACCGCGTCGGGCGCCCGCAGGCTGCCGCGCTGCTGCGCAAGCTGCTCAAGAACCACGTCATCGAGGACGTGAAGGGGCGCTGGGGCTCCGAGGACGTCCACGCCGACGACGGGCGGCTCTACCGGTGCGGTGGGGGGGACGGGGGGGGGGGGGGGCGGGTGGTGTTTCCGGGGGGGGGGGGTGGGGGGGTCTGTGTCATCGAGTTTTGTGGGTGGTCGGGCACACGGCTGGGAGCGCCGCAGCTAGTTAATGTGAACTACCTCGCCTGGTATACAGGAGGTCGTAGGTTCGATCCAGACCCTGACAATGCCAGCTGTATTATTGGAGATTGCGGTTTCTTTCATCATCATCATCATCACCACAGTTGTGAGATGTTAACTACCTCGCCTGGTATACAAGCGGGCATGGGTTCGATCCAGACCCTGACGATGCCTGTTGTATATTTGAAGTTTGCTGTTTCTCTCTCTCTCCCCGTGGTCGCGTGGATTTTTCTCCCGTTTTTTTCCCCACCATATTTAGAATGGACATCGCACGCTCAGAGTTAATTGGCTACTGCTATACATTTCCACGTGACAACGATAAGCCCACTTGGTCGAGCTATGATAATTTGTGATAGCCAGGCCGCTTCTGAAAAAGATCTACGCAGCTCGGTTTGGGCCTTACACCTGGCAAATATTTTTTTGTTTGTTTCTACAGTAGTTTTTGGATTGAGTTTGTACGTTCAGTTCTTTCCCCTTGACCGTTTTATCACCAACAACCGCGCCCTTGATAATTCATCTCGGGTATTTCCGTTTTAGATTTTAAACGCGATAAACGAACCGTCAAGCTAAATCGGAGTTGCGGTCAACAAGGCCGTCTTAACTTTTGGGCACGGGTAGTGGAACTGTAACTGGGTAGTGGAACAGACACAGTGCGATGCTGTGGCTTTAAGAACCAAATCACCTACACGACATTCATATCTACATCTGGGGTAAGACTCTAAAAATTAATGGTCCCACGTTGCATCCTCTTAAGGCCTGAGCCCCACGCGGCTTCGGTCGTGTGGGGCTCAAGAGACTATAACTGCATCGGTTTACTGAGAGATGATGGCGTGTCGCAGCGTGTAACAATACCACGTTGCCCAGGGCCACTTGGCCAACTCTGGCTAATTTGTACAGTCCTTGAGGTTAGATCGCGTAACTATAAATGTGTCGTTAAACCCGCCACCACTCGACACAACCAATTGGTAAGGTTTGTCATGTCAACAATACGTGCCAATTCGTTACTTAGTACAGCACTAACCGCTTGTGTGTTGGAGAGTGAACCCACAATATTTACAATTTGAGTACGAAGTTTCGCCGGTAATTACAATAACAATAACCAGCATCATCAGGCAAACAGCCAGAGTTGTGGAGGAATCCTCATCCTGTTCCGGTCTTAAATAGAGGGATTCATGTGATTTTTATTTTTTTATTTAAAGCTTTCATGACTGCAGGGATTCATATTCTTGGTTCTTTCGGTAAAGTCACGTAGAAGAGAAACAATAAAATAAAAAAAAACAATAAAATAATACACATATATTTTTATTGTTTTATATTTTTATTATTTTATTGTTTCCTTTCTGCGTGACTTTACCGAAAGAACCAAGAATATGGATTAATGTGATGTCGTCACTTTTGGAGCCAATCAGGTGTAAAGACCAAATCACTTGACGAGCAGTTTCTTGGAACCAATTACCGTCGTGAAGAAGTGAGCTCTACTCCACAGCACGTTTCAAAACGGTGCGTTTTGTCGTTGTTTCTCCCGCCCCTATGAAAGAATGTCAAACGCCCACGTCGCTCGAACCCGTCGGGCCAACGCCAACGGCTCGCCCGACTCTCGCCCTCGCAGGTTCCCGCCCGAGTCACCGCTCAAGGCGGTGACCGGCTGCCGGCGCTCGCCCCGCGGTCACCGCCCGCGGGGTTCTCTGGACGGCGCTCGGCAGGAGAAGCGGCGTGACGAGGAGGATGGTCGGCACGACGACGACGAGGAGGACGAGGAGGAGGAGGAGGGTCTGTCTCCGCGCCGGCGGCCCCGTCTCGCATCCGCCCCCTGCCAGAGCTCCGGCGGCTCGGGCCGGCGCAGGATCACGCGGGCCGTGGGAATCACCGGACCTCCGCCCCGGTTCCTGCTGGTGAGGCCGGAGACGTGGGCGGCGGCGGCAGCGGCGGCGTCGTCGCCGGTGACGCGGCTAGCCGAGCGAATGGTGGAGCCCCTCGGGGGACGTGGCAATTTTTAGTTTTAAACGGCAACAGCTCTGGAGGGTGGCCGCTTCCGCGGACGGAAGGATCCCGCGCCCCCGATTAGCACAGTTGGCTACGTACGGTGCGAAAGAAGAATTGCCGTACCGATGCTGTGGTGACGTCCACGGTGGCCAGATGTTATTTGCCTCGCCTGGTATGCAGGAGGTCGTGGGTTCGATCCCGACCCTGACACCTGTTGTATATTTGGAGTTTGCATGTTCTCCCCGTGGTGGCGAGGATTTTTCTCCAGGTCCTCCGGTTTTTCCCCTCCACATTTAGAATGAACATGCGTTTAGAGTGTTTGACTCCTGCTATACATTTCGAACTGATAAGCCACTTCGTTGAGCTATCATTTGTGCGGCGAGGTTGCTTCTTAAAAAAGAGCTATATAGCTCAGTGGGACCTTACTTGGTAATATAAAAAAAAATTGTCTAGTTTAATCAAATATGAGAGTTATATCTGCGGTTCACCAAATTTTTACAGAGGTGCTCGCCTGTCAGTGGTGTAGGGCATTCTAAGTTTAGGGCTTTTTTTGCCAGTACCAAAGACCAATCAGTTTCAAAGACAATGCGTGTATTATCAGCGCATGTCTTTGTGTTTGCATGTTCACGACAAGTACTGTGTGTGGTTAACGCAGACGAGATTCCTTGCAAAAGATTTCTATTTTGTGTTTGAACATCTTAACCCCTCGTCGAGGAGGCCGCTCTCCTCCTATCTTACAGTCACATGCTAATTTCTCACATTAACATAACTATCCCCGCCCACTTCCTCATGACCCTTTGGGCTGCACCCATTCCAAACCCTTTTAAAACCGTCGGCCTCAGCAGCAGACCGCCGCTTTCCCAACCTGATGACGGGACGCTTAGGTGTTGCGCCCCAGAAACGTCGCGATTCATTTTATTTTTACCGAAAGAACCAAAGAGTATAGGGTTTAAAACCTATTCTTATTTGCATTCTAAGTTGATTGTAGAGAGACACACCGTGTCAACCCATACGGTTTACCCCGTGTTCTTGTGCAGGGAAATTGTGTTTTCAGGTCCACACGGCGTGCAGCCGTTTCAACACGGGCAACAAAGATGTTTTACTTGTTTGTTTGTGTTTCTCCCTTGTGATGGGACTTTGTGGGATGAACGTTGAGATTTATAAGGGGCACGGGGTGATCAATAAGGCCTGCAATTGGTCTGTAAGAAGGTAGGGCACTGATATAATGGGGTGGACAGCTATGTAGAGAAGCAGTTGGGGCCATTTACATTACAGTATACAGTAGTACAGTATCGATAATTGGATAACGCGGCGGTTCTCAACTGGAGGGCTACGCGGAATCCTGGGGGGGTAGGGGGGGTGGGGGGTACACGTGGCAATGTCTCAGGGGTTACGCGAGGTCATCTCGATAAATGTATGAAATGATACCGCATGTGAGAGTGGTGAACGATCGGGTGTGAATCTGGCAATGTCCAAATAACTGCGTTAAAATGGTAATCCACATGATAACCTACAACGCTATACATGACCTTTCTCAACTCATTGATCGTGATCAATTTGGTTTCCAAGGGCAGCCAGCGAGCGCGAACAAATGACGTCATGCGTGCAGAGCATCTGTAGAATTATTATTTTTCTAATCGCTTGCGGTCACTAGTTCAGTTAGGATAGATAACCTCACAAAATGAACAATTGGATCAAATATTGATTTTCATCATTCGTACATTTCTCAGAACCTTGTTGGGTCAGGCAAGGGGAGTGTACTCTGTTGAAAGAAAATTTTACAAGGGGGGGGGGGTACAAATGCAGGTTTTTTTTTTTGTTTAGGTTAGGTCGGGTAAATATATAAATGTGTCATTGAATCCGCCACCACCCGACATAGCCAATTAGTTAAGGTTTGTCACGTAAACATAACGTGGCCAACTCGTTACCAGTACGGCAGCACACCGGTTGGGTGTTGGAGAGCAAAGCCGCAACATTTACAATCTGTGGTGCGACGTTTTTCCAGCAATTGCAACCAGCTTCGTCAGGCGACAGCCAGATTTGTGGAGAAATCCTCCTGTTTCGTTCCTTAAATAGAGGGGTGGATGTGATGACGTCACTTGTGAGCACTTCTTGCGCGAAGTCGCGTGGGGGGGATTAATGAATGTATATCAATGACTATGAGTATCCAAGGTCGTTGGGCTTATTTATATGGTAATCAACATACGTTATTTTGGTTTAACACGTAGGCTTTCGCGACCAATATTATTCATAATAAAGGTTTTTGGGTTAGATCGCGTTTATTTATAAATGTGTCGTAACCCTCCACCACCCGACACGGCCAATCAGCAAAAAAAGTGTCACGTTGACAAAAGACAAATAATTCACTACTTCAGCCCACCGGTGTGTTGAAGAGTTAATCCAGTTATGTGTGCGAGTTATGCCCTTGGCCGCGAAAGCCTGTGTGTTAAAGGGAGGCGGGGAGGGGGGGGGTGGTACAGTAACCAAAAAAGTTTGAGAACCACCGGCCTAACACATTGGCAGCTTCTCGTGGCTTGCTTCGAACGCCCCCGCCCCCCCCGGTGCCCGGCGGGCTCCGCGAGCTCCGACCCCCGGGCCCGGCCCGCCGGACAAGCGAGCCGCCAACCTCGCGATGCGAACCGCCCGCGGCAAACGTTCCCTCTCGGCACCCACAGCAGTCGGCGGACTGGCGGAAGCGGCACAGCGTCGCCGTCGCCGACGGCGTCGCGGGCCTCGAGTCGGCCGAGGTGGCGGCGGGGACGGCCGCCGCCTTCGCCCCCGGCTCTCGCCACAGCGTCGCCGCCCCCGCGCGGGAGGCCGAGCTGCTGCGGCGCAGGGGGGCCGAGCGGAGGGGCGGCGCGGCGGGGGCGGGGGCGGCGTGGCCGGCGACGGCGCCGGCGGCGGTCTGCGCCGAGGAGGAGCACAAGCGGGACGCGCTGGAGCGGTGAGGGGGCGGGGGGGGGGGGCGGGGGGGGGGTGGGTGGGGGGGGGGGGCGTGCGAGCCGTGCCCGGGGGGGTGCGGGGAAAAGGTCGGAGAGGTTGGCGCACGAGCGGAGGGGCGGCTTGCGTAGCAAGGACCGCTCCATGCCCCGTGCACACAGGCACCGTTGTGGGGTTGCGGTGATGCGTGTGGGGTGCCACGGTGGCCAGGAGACGTTAACTACTTCGCCTGGTATACATGAGATCGTGGGTTCGATCCCGACCCTGGCGCCTGCTGTATATGTGGAGTTTGCGTTGTCTCTCTCTCTCTCTTTCTCCGTAGTGGATTTTTCTCTGGGTCCTCCGGTTTCCCCCTCCGCATTTAGAATCGACGTCACGTGCTAAGAGCATTTGGCTGCTCTAAATTTCCACATTCTGAGCCAACTTGGTTGAGCTATCATTTGTGTTGGCCGGGTCGCATCTGAATAAGAGCTACGTATCGCCAGCCCGGTGGGGCCTTACATGGACAAATACAAAAACACATCTGTAAGAGGGGGAGAGGTGGGCACGCGAGCGGCAGATCTTGACGCTTCGAGAAACGAGAGACGCGTCGTGCATTGAGAGGAGCGGTTTATGTAGCAAGGCCCCCCCCACCCCCCGTGTAAACTGGCACCGGTGTGGCTGGTGACGCCTGTGGGTTGCCGCGGTGGTGATTTTTGGTATTTTAATATTTTTATTTATTTTTACAATTGCCCGTTACAAAGCACGAAAAAGGGCGGGGGGGGGGGGGCGGTACAGTTATTCCGCGGAATGACAAGCCCGAGGCCATGTGCCCACGGGGTACGGGGAGGACGGAAGGACGATTGGGCTCACTGCCCCACTCTCGCGTAGGAGTAGCGATTGGGAACGTGGTATTTTTAAGATGGGGGTGGGTGGGGAGGGAATATACTCAAACAACCGCGGTGGCTCCTCCTTCACCTTCACCACTTTCACCGTCAGCACCTTCACCTCCACTACCGCCTTGACCAACTCCACCACCTTCACCACCTCCTCCACCACCTCCTTCAGTACCTTCACCTTCTCCACCTCCTCCACCTTCACCACCTCCTTCACCTTCACCATCCATCTCCATCTCTATCCCCACCTCTACCCCCACCACCTCTACCCCACCTCCTCTACCCCCACCTCCTCCACCTCGCCTGGTATGCATGAGGTCGTGGGCTCGATCCCGACCCTGACGACGCCTGCTGCTGTATATTTGGAGTTTGCGGTGTCTCTCTCTCATCATCATCACAGTTGCGAGATGTTAACTACGTCGCCTGGTATGCAGGAGGTCGTGGGCTCGATCCCGACCCTGACGACGCCTGCTGCTGCCGTATATTTGGAGTTTGCGGTCTCCCTCCCCGTGTTGGTCGCGTGGAGTTTTCTCCGGGTCCTCCGCTTTTTTCTCGCTCCACATTTAGGATGGGCGTCATGCCTAGCTGCCTTTCCACCTGTCTGTGAGTGAGCAAAAACTGTGCGTTGTGCAAGTTTAAACCATTGTTATTCTGATGCTAGTGACGATGCCGATGACGCTGCCTTTGCCGATGGCTATGCCGATGACGCCCCGCTGTTGACGACGACACTGACGTAGGCGGCGCTGCTGGTACCGATGGATTTGCTAGCGCTGCACGCATGCACGCACGCTGAACTTCTTTGGCGCCGTACGTAGCCAACCACGCTAATCGGAGGCGCTGCCGGAAGTGCCGAGACCATGCTGACGGAGCCTCGTTGTCGTGCCCTGCCAGGCTGCGGGCGCTGCTGGCGCTGCGCTCCCTCGAGGGGCTGCTGGACCCGACGCTGGTGCACGGGCGCCACCTCGTGCACAACCTGCGTAGCGTGAACCGGCACGGGGTCGTGGTGCTCGCCGACGGCTCCGGTACGCGAGGCCTACGGGCCCCACAAGCTCGGCCCTTCCCCGCTCGCTGGAGTCGGGAGCACGCGGAGGGAGGGAGAGAGTGAGATGAGAGGCAGGAGAGAGCACGGAGGGGGGGAGAGTGAGATGAGAGGCAGGAGAGAGCACGGAGGGGGGGAGAGAGTGAGATGGGAGGCGGGAGAGTGCACGGAGTGGGGGAGAGAGTGAGCTGAGAGGCGGGAGAGAGCACGGAGTGGGGGAGAGAGTGAGATGGGAGGCGGGAGAGAGCACGGAGTGGGGGAGAGAGTGAGCTGAGAGGCAGGAGAGAGCACGGAGGGGGGGAGAGTGAGATGAGAGGCAGGAGAGACCACGGAGGGGGGGAGAGTGAGATGAGAGGCAGGAGAGTGCACGGAGTGGGGAGAGAGTGAGATGAGAGGTGGGAGAGTGCACGGAGTGGGGGAGAGAGTGAGATGGGAGGCAGGAGAGTGCACGGAGGGGGGGAGAGAGATGAGATTGGAGAGGTGTAAGAGCGTGAGGAGGAGAGTGGTAGGGGAGTGGAGAGAGACGAGAGATGGGAGGCTGGCAGGGGCTCAACCATGGAGGATCTTGAAGATGGTGAGTGTGTGAGACTGATATTGATGCAGGATTGGAGCCAGTGGTAGGGTGGGATTGTATTTATTTATTATAAATATGTAACCTGTTGCAGTCTTTATACATCGCCACTGCGGAGACAAAGGCGGCCGGACGTGGTGCTGGCCACCCACCCCCTCGTGTGCCGTGCCGGGCTTCATAGGTGCTCGCTAGCAGCACTTGCCCCCGACAGTCTGTTAAGGCTACACGGGGGATCTTTGTCTTTGTTTGTATTGCAGAAGACCTAACCGGTAGTGTAGCGGTTAGCGCGCTACGCTACAAACCCCGGTGACCCAAGTTCGATTCCCGCTCACGGCCTACACCGGTGACGATTATCTGAACCGGTACTGGGCCTCCCCTAGGTCGACTCGGCCTCCAACGAGTGCCCGGTGCGGTGTGTAGCAAACATCGCCACTGGGGAGACAAAGGCGGTCGGGCGTGGTGGTGCTGGCCAACCCACCCACCCCCCCCCCGTGTGCCGTGCCGGCCTTCGTAGGTGCCGCTGCTCGCTGAGGGCGCTCGCCCCGGACAATCTGTTAAGGCGACACGGGGGTGGTGGGAGAAATCTTTGTCTTTTGTATTCTTGCAGAAGACCTTCCAAGCTGGGTGCTCTCTGCCATGAAGTGCCTGGCCACGTGTAAGTACGGCGCCCAACCCTCCCATACCCCCCCCCGCCCCTGTCCGCACGACCCACAAAACAACGCAGCTCCCGTCGCGAAACGACGCGCCTAAGCTGCGAGCCCCAGAAGCTTTCGCTGAGCTCTGCTCTGCGCTCCCATCGTGTGTTTTGTGTTTGTTGTTTTTGTTGTTGTCCTCGTTGTAACGTTCTGACCCCGTGTGCCCACGACTGGACTTATGGATAAAAGAGCTTCGTAGCTCATGGAATTTTTCCAGTATAAAGAAATACTCTGAATCTCAGAAGCGTGCGCGCGTGTGTGTGTGTGCGTGTGTGCATGTGCGCGCGTGTGTTGTGGATGTTGTGGGGAGCGGTAGTGTGTAGCGATTCGCGCGCTGCGCTACGAACCCGGCGACCCGAGTTTGACTCCCGCTCACGGCCCGAGTACCCGGTGCGGTGTGTAAACATCACCACTAGGGAGACAAAGGCGGTTGGGCGTGGTGCTGGCCACCCACCCCCTCGTGCACCGCTCCGACCTTCATAGGTGGTGCTCGCTAACAGCACTTGCCCCTACGGTCTGTTACAGGCCACACGGGGGATCTTTGTCTTTGTGCTCTCGTGTCGCCCCCGCGCAGGGCCGGACGGCGATGCCCCGGGCCCGTCGTACCCGGGCTTCGAGCGCGACGTCTTCCGCACGGTGGCCGACTACTTCCTCGCCCTGCCCGAGCCGCTGCTCGCGTTCCCCCTGTACGGCGTCGTCGCCTACGCCCTCTCGCTGACCTCCGCCTCCCCTTCTTCCTCCTCGTCGCTGTCCTCGTCGTCGTCGCTGTCCTCGTCGTCGTCGTCGTCGTCGTCGTCGTCGATTCAAGCATCGTGTTCACAACCTTGGTCCGCGTCGAGGCAGACGCTGCCGGCGCCCCCGACGGCAGCGCCGCCGCAGTCTCATCCTTCGTCGTCTTCGTCCGAGCCTCCGATCGCGACGACGACGGCGTCACGGCGGCCGCCGCCGCCGCCGTCGGCTTTCTCGAGGGCGGCGGCGACGGCATCGTCGTCGCGCCCGGCAAATCCGCCGGCGCCCTCGTCGGCGGCGAACCCTCGGGCGCCGAAGCCTCCTTGGTCGTCGTCGCAGCCCCCGTCGTCGAGAAGTTGCTCGGCGTCGGCGTCGGCGGCGGCCACGGCTCCTCCTCCGTCGCCGCCGCAGCCGCCGCAGCGGACGCTCCCCTCGTTCGCGTCCACCGAGAGCCTGATCCTGGACATGTCGCGGTGCCTCGCGTCTCCCGGAGACGAAGGCTCGGGCGGCGACCGAAGCGACGCCGACGAGGACGGAGACGGCGAGGACGGAGATGCGGCGAGCTTCCGGGGCAACGGGCTGTACCGCGTGGCCGGCGCCGCCAACCTCAACTCTTCGCTGGAGACGGAGCCGCAGTTCCAGCGCTCGCGCAGCGTGCGCTACAACGCCGGCAAGGGTGGCGGCGGCGGCGGCGTTGCTGCCGGTGTTGGTGGTATCAGTGGCAGCAGTGGCGGTATTGTTGGCGGCGGTGGTTTTGGTGGTGGTGGTGGTGGTGGTATTAGTTTTGGTGGTGGTGCCGCTGGTAAGCTTGGTGGTGCGAGCCGCGAGCCGTGCTCGCAGGAGAACGCCGATCCCAACGCGGGGAACGCGGAAGGAGGCGACGGCCGTGGGACCACGGCTCAGGCGGACGTCAACACGCGTGAGTAAACCCGGCCACCCGCTCGCCCCATTTTTAGAAATCGCTCACCGACTCGTTTGCTCTCACCCCCCCCACCCCCGCCGTCTCCTCACTCGTTAATTGATCAATCTTCCCTCACCCACTTGCTCGCTCATCACTCACTCGCCTCACTCTTGTCACTAATTTTGAAATCACTCACCAGCTCGCTTGATCACTCGCTCACTCGCCCACCCACTCGTTCATAATTCACTTGCTCTCGCCCACTAGCTCACTCGTGACTCCCTTACTCGTCAGTTTCTAAATTCGCTCGCCAGCTCGCTAACTAGCTCACTCACTCATAACCCACCCTCTCACGAATTCACTCGCTCTGTGAACTGTTTTCTATCTCGCCAGGTAAGGCCCATTGAGCTGTGTAGCTCTTTTTTAGAAGCGACTTGGCCACCGCAAGCGATAGCCCAACGAAGTGGCTTGTTGTCACGTGGAAATTTATAGCAGCCAGATACCCTAAACCAGTGGGTTCTTAACGTTTACTGCAGCCTGGCATGGGAAGAGAGACACCGCAAACTTCAAATATGCAGCAGGTGTCAGGGTCTGGATCGAACCCACAACCTCCTGTATAGCAGGCGAGGTAGTTTGCTACATACAATGCGAAAGAAGTTCAACATACGTCCACCTGCGATTGGTACGGTTGGCTACATACAAAAGTTCAACGTAGACTCACACAGGGACCCATAGACTCAAACAGGGACCCATAGACTCAGAGACCCATAGACTCAAACAGAGACCCATAGACTCAAACAGAGACCCATGGACTCAAACAGAGACCCATAGACTACTCACACAGAGACCCATAGACTACTCACACAAAGACCCATAGACTACTCACACAGAGATCCACAGGCTCACACAGAGACCCACAGGCTCACACAGAGACCCACAGACTCACACAGAGACCCACAGACTCACACAGAGACCCACAGACTCACACAGAGACCCACAGACTCACACAGAGACCCATAGACTACTCACACAGAGACCCACAGACTCACACAGAGACCCCAGGTTCACACAGAGACCCACATACTCACACAGAGACCCACAGACTCACACAGAGACCCATAGACTCAAACAGAGACCCATAGACTCAAACAGAGACCCATAGACTCAAACAGAGACCCATAGACTCAGAGACCCATAGACTACTCACACAGAGACCCATAGACTACTCACACAGAGACCCATAGACTACTCACACAGAGACCCATAGACTACTCACACAGAGACCCATAGACTACTCACACAGAGACCCATAGACTACTCACACAGAGACCCATAGACTACTCACACAGAGACCCATAGACTACTCACACAGAGACCCACAGACTCACACAGAGACCCACAGACTCACACAGAGACCCACAGACTCACACAGAGACCCACAGACTCGCACAGAGACCCATAGACTCAAACAGAGATCCATAGACTACTCACACAGAGACCCCTAGACTCACACAGAGACCCATAGATTACTCACACAGAGACCCACAGACTACTCACACAGAGACCCCAGGCTCACACAGAGACCCACAGGCTCACACAGAGACCCATAGACTCAAACAGAGACCCATAGACTCAAACAGAGACCCATAGACTCAAACAGACCCATAGACTCAGAGACCCATAGACTACTCACACAGAGACCCATAGACTACTCACACAGAGACCCATTGACTACTCACACAGAGACCCATAGACTACTCACACAGAGACCCATAGACTACTCACACAGAGACCCATAGACTACTCGCACAGAGACCCATAGACTACTCACACAGAGACCCATAGACTACTCACACAGAGACCCACAGACTCACACAGAGACCCACAGACTCACACAGAGACCCACAGACTCACACAGAGACCCACAGACTCACACAGAGACCCATAGACTCACACAGAGACCCACAGACTCGCACAGAGACCCACAGACTCGCACAGAGACCCATAGACTCAAACAGAGACCCATAGACTCAAACGGAGACCCATAGACTACTCACACAGAGACCCCTAGACTCACACAGAGACCCATAGACTACTCACACAGAGACCCATAGACTACTCACACAGAGACCCATAGACTACTCACACAGAGACCCACAGACTCACACAGAGACCCACAGACTCACACAGAGACCCACAGACTCACACAGAGACCCACAGACTCACACAGAGACCCACATACTCACACAGAGACCCACAGACTCACACAGAGACCCATAGACTCAAACAGAGACCCATAGACTCAAACAGAGACCCATAGACTCAAACAGAGACCCATAGACTCAGAGACCCATAGACTACTCACACAGAGACCCATAGACTACTTACACAGAGACCCATAGACTACTCACACAGAGACCCATAGACTACTCACACAGAGACCCATAGACTACTCACACAGAAACCCATAGACTACTCACACAGAGACCCATAGACTACTCACACAGAGACCCATAGACTACTCACACAGAGACCCACAGACTCACACAGAGACCCACAGACTCACACAGAGACCCACAGACTCACACAGAGACCCACAGACTCGCACAGAGACCCATAGACTCAAACAGAGACCCATAGACTACTCACACAGAGACCCCTAGACTCACACAGAGACCCATAGATTACTCACACAGAGACCCACAGACTACTCACACAGAGACCCATAGACTACTCACACAGAGACCCATAGACTACTCACACAGAGACCCATTGACTACTCACACAGAGACCCATAGACTACTCACACAGAGACCCATAGACTACTCACACAGAGACCCATAGACTACTCGCACAGAGACCCATAGACTACTCACACAGAGACCCATAGACTACTCACACAGAGACCCACAGACTCACACAGAGACCCACAGACTCACACAGAGACCCACAGACTCACACAGAGACCCACAGACTCACACAGAGACCCACAGACTCGCACAGAGACCCACAGACTCGCACAGAGACCCACAGACTCGTACAGAGACCCATAGACTCAAACAGAGACCCATAGACTCAAACGGAGACCCATAGACTACTCACACAGAGACCCCTAGACTCACACAGAGACCCATAGACTACTCACACAGAGACCCACAGACTACTCACACAGAGACCCGCAGGCTCAAACAGAGACCCCAGGCTCACACAGAGACCCACAGGCTCACACAGAGACCCATAGACTCAAACAGAGACCCATAGACTCAAACAGAGACCCATAGACTACTCACACAGAGACCCATAGACTACTCACACAGAGACCCATAGACTACTCACACAGAGACCCACAGACTACTCACACAGAGACCCATAGACTACTCACACAGAGACCCACAGACTACTCACACAGAGACCCACAGACTCGCACAGAGACCCATAGACTACTCACACAGAGACCCATAGACTACTCACACAGAGACCCATAGACTACTCACACAGAGACCCACAGACTCGCACAGAGACCCATAGACTACTCGTACTTAGACCCATCGTTTCCTGTCCTTCCCCCGCACCTCCGATTAACGCGGTTGGCTACGTACGGCACGAAAAGCAGTTCAACGTGCACAACATCTCGCCACCGCGGCGCCCACTCGCTCACCCACGCTCGCTCACCCACGCTCGCTCTCCCACGCTCGCTCACCCACACTCGCTCACCCACGCTCGCTCACCCGCACTCGCTGACCCACGCTCGCTTGCCCCTGCGTGCGCCACCTGCAGGTGTCGCCCTGGCGCTGCAGCTCTGCTGCGCCCTGCTGCCGCCTTTGTCGCGGCGCCGCCTGCAGCTGCTGGTGCGCGTGGTGGTGCGCGTGGCTCACAATGGCCAGCTGCCCCCGCTGCAGCCGCCGATGGACAACCGCAGCCTGGTGGGTGAGGCCACAGACGGTGTGTGGGGCGATGTGGCGGTATTGGCGGCGGCGGCGGTTTGCGTCATGGCGGTTGACGGTTCAACATGCAGATTGTACACCGAGTCGCCGGCACGGGCGCGGGAATCGACGAGTAGTAGCTGGAGAGGTGCGATAAGGAGGTGACTGACCGCCCGTGAGCGTGCGACGGAAGATAATCCGTTGTCCCCCCCCCCCCCACTGAGCCCTATTTACATAGACTAAACTAAAAGCTCATCATAAATGTTTTTGGGGTTGGATCGCGTAAGTGTAAATGTGTCGTAACCCTCCGCCGCCCGACACAGCCAATTAGTAAGGGATTTGTCACGTAAACAAAACGCCAATTAGTTACAAGTATAGTGTATAGTCGTGTGTAGTGTTTAGTAGTGTCGTGTATAGTGGAGCATATAGTGTGGTGTATAGTGTAGTATACTACTTCTGCCCACCGGTGTGTTAGAGAGTAAATCCACAACATTTACAATTTGAGTACTGTGATGTTACATCCAGCATCGTCGGGCGGTGGAGGGTAATTTTAAATCGTCATCTAGATTGAAAACTAATTTCTTTAGAACTGCTTGCTTTGTTTAGCTTGTTGTCCTTCCCCCGCACCTCCGATCGGCACGGCCGCCTACCTACGGTGCAAAGGAAGTTCCACGTGCACGCACGCCCGCAACGTACACGTAACGTCCGTACATTTCCGCACCCTCCCCCCCCCCCGCGTAGATGCTGGAGAGCCTGTGGCGCTGCGTGCTGCGACCCCGCGACCCCTCGCGTCTCGACGAGGTTCTGTGTCGCCGCGCCCTCGACTTCATCGCGCGGAACCACGCGCTGGTGCTGCGGCCGCCCGTGCACCTCCTCGCCGGCCCGCAGCCCCGCGCCGCCCCCGTGAGTGTGGCGGCTCTCCGCGCTCGCTCGCGTGTTGGCGAGTGACCGAGCATGTTGGCGAGCGTGTTGGCGAGCGTGTTGGCGAGCGTGTTGGCGAGTGACCTCGCGTGTTGGCGAGTGTGTTGGCGAGTGACCTCATGTGTTGGCGAGTGACCTCACGTGTTAGCGAGCGTGTTGTTGAGTGACCGAGCGTGTTGGCGAGTGACCGAGCGTGTTGGCGAGTGACCGAGCATGTTGGCGAGCGTTTTGGCGAGTGACCGAGTGTGTCGGCGAGTGACCTCACGTGTTAGCGAGCGTGTTGTTGAGTGACCGAGCGTGTTGGCGAGTGACTGAGCGTGTTGGCGAGTGACCTCGTGTGTTGGCGAGTGACCTCACGTGTTAGCGAGCATGTTGTTGAGTGACCGAGCGTGTTGGCGAGTGACCGAGCGTGTTGGCGAGCGTGTTGGCGAGTGACCGAGCGTGTTGGCGAGCGTTTTGGCGAGTGACCGAGTGTGTTGGCGAGTGACCTCACGTGTTAGCGAGCGTGTTGTTGAGTGACCGAGCGTGTTGGCGAGTGACCGAGCGTGTTGGCGAGCGTGTTGGCGAGTGACCGAGCGTGTTGGCGAGTGTGTTGGCGAGTGACCTAGCGTGTTGGCGAGTGACCGAGCGTGTTGGCGAGTGACCGAGCATGTTGGCGAGCGTGTTGGCGAGTGTGTTGGCGAGTGACCGAGCGTGTTGGCGAGCGTGTTGGCGAGTGAACTTGCGTGTTGGCGAGCGTGTTGTCGAGTGTGTTGGCGAGTGACCTCCGCTGACTCCCAATCCCCGTCAGGATCGCCTTGAAAATCGCCCGCCTCCGTTTATACTGCCAAGAGGCAGGACCGTTTGCCCCTCCCATACGTCTGGGACCTCCTGACGCCCTGCCCCCCCAAACCACCGCCAGAACTCTCCGCAGCTCTACCCAGGAGTTACTATCGACACCCGAGAGTCAGACGAACTGTCGAGAGTCTGTTGTCGGTCGTCTCCACCCGGAACGCCGCCGCCCGAAACGCCGCCGTGCCCCTCCGCATTCGCAGCGCTGACTCTTTAACTACCTTTAAGCGCCTTCTCAAAAAACATCTGTTTATTTGACTTTCACTGAGCGGATCTCTGAGCTGGGCTCCCGCGCCTCAGGGTCACTGCCTTCGGGGAGCGAGTGAGCGAGTGAGCGAGCACGCTCTCGAGTCGGCGAGTGCGCCCGCCCAAAAATCTGAATATTTTTCACAGATGTTCACCGGTAGGGGCACGGGGTTGAGAACGTGACAAGCAACAGCATGGAATACAAAAACCCACGTGTCGAACGGGGGACGCCCAGTCCTAGCCTCGCGGCGCGCACTCACCTCACCGTTTGTCCTCCGCGCGGGGCCTGCAGGATCCGGGCCGCGAGCCCCAGCTCCGGCCCAGCCACTGGTTCTGCCGTCAGATCAGCGTGAGCGAGTTCCGCGCTCAGGGGCAGAGCGAGTCGCGGGCCGCGCTCCTCGCGCTGCTCGACGGCCTCCTGGACGACGGGCGAATGAACCAGCGCGAGAAGCAGCGCAAGATCAAGCAGGTGGGGGGGGCGGGCGGGCGGGAGGGCGGGCGGGCGGGCGGGCGGGCGGTGCGGGCACATGCGAGGGTAAGCGGGGGCGGCAGAGTTTTTTCGGTTGTCTGAACCTCTTTCCCGTTGCGAGACGTCTGCAAGATGAGAATCGGAATGTTTATTTGTAGCTGGAGGTATCCGATGAGCTGTAGAGCTCGGTTTTTTTGTATGCAGATGTCCACCAGTAGGGGGCCACGGGGTCAGTTTACGTTACAACAACAAACAATACGAAAAATACTTAAGGAGGGCACAGTAAACAAATCACTTTAAAAAAAAACATACAAATAAAACTTAAACAGTTTTTTTTATCTTACCAGGTAAAGCCCACTCAGCTCATTGGCTTCATTTTCCTCTTAAACGCACATTGAATCTAAATGCGGAAGGGAAAAACCGGGAGGCCCGGAGAAAATCCACGGAGAGAGAGAGAGAGAGACACACCGCAAACTCCAAATACACTGCAGGCATCAGCAGGGTCGGGATCAAACCCACCGACCCTCCTGCATACCAGGCGAGGGAGTTAACATCTCCTAGCCACCGCGGCGCCCCCCTCTCGCCACACACATACATGAAGGCTATCCGTGGGGCGTGGTGGGGGTGGTCATTGCGTGCGTCTCTCCCCTTCAGTTCCGCAAGGCGTACCCGGACGTCTACAGAAGCCGTTTCCCCGACGCCGCCGGCTGCTCCCCGGCACCACCGCCGAGGGCCCCCCGCCGGCCTCCTCTGCTCGCCCTGAAGGGGGCCCTTCCCAACCCCTTCAACCGCGTGCGCTTCTGAGCCCGACGTCCCCCCCCCCCCCCCGCCACTCTCCCCACCACCACCACCCACCACCGAGCGCCCCGCCAAAGCAGCACGCGGATACATGAAGAGCGGGGGCGGTGGTGGTGGTGGTGGCGGCAGTGAGCAGGGACGAGGCGTCCATGACAAGCAAGCGGAGACAAGAGACTGGCTCCCGCCACGGGGGTGTGGAATTTGCGCCGCTGGCTCGGGGCTGCCGCCCAACGGGCTGTGGCCGCCGCCGCCGCAGAAGCTTTGGAATGAATTTTGTTGCCCCTGCGGGGTTCTTTTGGGGATGCAGGGAGACAATGAAAGGGATTGCAGGCAGCCTGTTGGGGAGTGGAATGGGGGGCCGGGGGGGAGGGTTTGTGGAGTGCGGCTGGGTCTGTACCCCCCTCCCCCCAACTCCCACAATTCAATGCAGTAACTCACAGGAGCGTGCTTCCCTCGTAACTTAATCCTTCCCTCCCAAGTTACCGTGGTTATCGGCGCCGCCGTATCGACTGTTACATACGCGTTGGGCTCGGTGGTTAGAACTCACCGGACTCGCAATAGGTCGCCACGTTGGCGAGATGCTAACTCCCTCGCCCGTTATGCAGGAGGTCGTGGGTTCGATCCCGACCCTGACGCTTTTTCCCCTCTCCACATTTAGAATCGAGGTGCTTTTAGAGTACTCGCGTGCTATCAATTTCCACGCGACGGTGATGGGCCACTTTTGTTGAGCTATCATTTGCGATGCCCAGGTCGCTTCTGAAAAGGAGCTACGTAGCACTCGTTACATTGTTTTAAAAAAGATGGCAGGGGCAGTGCAAAGGTGCCGAGGAATGTGTAACCGTAGCAGAGGTCACGTCTGGGTCACGAAAGGGCAGGGAGGAGGTACGGGAAGGAGTGAGAGGGGCGAGGGAAGAGGAAGGCAATGGGCAGTGAAAGGAGAGGTGAGGTGAGCTTTAGCCACCAGATAATTTAATTACATACGAACCATAGGCCGGGCGATGGCGGCGGCGGTGTGGTGCCTTACCTGATAAAGTTGAAAATAGTTTTGGTTGTCCATCCGTGTCTGGGTGAGGGTCTGTTACGGCGAGTCGCACGGTCACGTTGGTCGGTGCAGGTTGCAAGCTGGTAGCGAACGGATATTGCTCGCTACCGGTGTCAGCCACCGTGGCCAGGAATGAAGCTCAGGTACCCACACCCCCTCACCCACCCCCACCGCTACCGGGTTCGTAGCGATCGCACTGATGACAGCGCCACAGCTCCGTCCTCGTAGAATAACAGGAACAAATGTTCTTATCCTAACCAGAGAGAGAGTTGGTACGCTAAAAAAGGGAATTTAAGATGCAATTGGTCCCGGATCGCGTGATGTGGCAGGGGGGAACGCTTTTAGCGTCAAGGCGACTTCTAGTCTTTTGTCTGCGTCGTCCAACATTCGTGCGTTGCAGGTTTTAACCATATTTTCTTTTATCATTCTAAATGCTTTTGCTGCTGCCGCACGCCGTGCGATAACAAGGCCCTGGTTTTAATTGAGGTGGATTGAAAAGGAGGCGCAGACCCACGAAAAGAGTCGGCGCCTGTATATGTTGGGGGGGCCCCCGCTGCCGTAGATTGATCAAAATCGTTTCTAACTCTCTCACGGTAAACGTCCGTCGAATTGAGCGTGTGCGTCGTAGTTTATCGCGTCCTATTGCGCCGCTGCGTGCGATTGGTTCGCGCAAACGCTGTGGTTGCTCTGCATCGGTTTTTCTCGCTAATTTTCAGACGGGGTGGGGGGAGAGGGGGCACTTTCACCGATAAGACATCGGTGTGTGCGAAACCATTGGTGGTTTGATGGGACGACGACAACGACGGGGGTGTGTTTTCACATTTGTGTTTTATCGGGGGCAGCACTAAAGGCCACCAGGGGGGCCTGCCAATGGCCCCGCGGGCCACTCTACATGCACACCGCGAGGGAAGCAAGCAAGCAGATGTAGATGTCACTGGTTCTTCACGTTCTGCAGATGTAGATGCCACTGGTTCTTCACGTTCTGCAGATGTAGATGCCACTGGTTCTTCACGTTCTGCAGATGTAGATGCCACTGGTTCTTCACGTTCTGCAGATGTAGATGCCACTGGTTCTTCACGTTCTGTAGATGTAGATGCCACCGGTTCTCCATGTTCTGCAGATGTAGATGCCACTGGTTCTTCACGTTCTGTAGATGTAGATGCCACTGGTTCTTCACGTTCTGCAGATGTAGATGCCACTGGTTCTTCACGTTCTGCAGATGTATATGCCACTGGTTCTCCATGTTCTGTAGATGTAGATGCCACTGGTTCTTCACGTAGATGTAGATGCCACTAGTTCTTCACGTTCTGCAGATGTAGATGCCACTGGTTCTTCACGTTCTGTAGATGTAGATGCCACTGGTTCTTCACGTTCTGCAGATGTAGATGCCACTGGTTCTTCACGTTCTGCAGATGTAGATGCCACTGGTTCTTCACGTTCTGTAGATGTAGATGCCACTGGTTCTGCAGATGTAGATGCCACTGGTTCTTCACGTTCTGCAGATGTAGATGCCACTGGTTCTTCACGTTCTGCAGATGTAGATGCCACTGGTTCTTCACGTTCTGCAGATGTAGATGCCACTGGTTCTCCGTGTTCTGTAGATGTAGATGCCACTGGTTCTTCACGTTCTGCAGATGTAAATGCCACTGGTTCTTCACGTTCTGCAGATGTAGATGCCACTGGTTCTTCACGTTCTGCAGATGTAGATGCCACTGGTTCTTCACGTTCTGCAGATGTATATGCCACTGGTTCTCCATGTTCTGTAGATGTAGATGCCACTGGTTCTTCACGTAGATGTAGATGCCACTAGTTCTTCACGTTCTGCAGATGTAGATGCCACTGGTTCTTCACGTTCTGTAGATGTAGATGCCACTGGTTCTTCACGTTCTGCAGATGTAGATGCCACTGGTTCTTCACGTTCTGCAGATGTAGATGCCACTGGTTCTTCACGTTCTGTAGATGTAGATGCCACTGGTTCTGCAGATGTAGATGCCACTGGTTCTTCACGTTCTGCAGATGTAGATGCCACTGGTTCTTCACGTTCTGCAGATGTAGATGCCACTGGTTCTTCACGTTCTGCAGATGTAGATGCCACTGGTTCTCCGTGTTCTGTAGATGTAGATGCCACTGGTTCTTCACGTTCTGCAGATGTAGATGCCACTGGTTCTTCACGTTCTGCAGATGTAGATGCCACTGGTTCTTCACGTTCTGCAGATGTAGATGCCACTGGTTCTTCACGTTCTGCAGATGTAGATGCCACTGGTTCTTCACGTTCTGCAGATGTAGATGCCACTGGTTCTTCACGGTCTGCAGATGTAGATGCCACTGGTTCTTCACGTTCTGCAGATGTAGATGCCACTGGTTCTTCACGTTCTACATATGTAGATGCCACTGGTTCTTCACGTTCTGCAGATGTAGATGCCACTGGTTCTTCACGTTCTGTAGATGTAGATGCCACTGGTTCTTCACTTTCTACAGATGTAGATGCCACTGGTTCTTCACGTTCTGTAGATGTAGATGCCACTGGTTCTTCACGTTCTGCAGATGTAGATGCCACTGGTTCTTCACGTTCTACAGATGTAGATGCCACTGGTTCTTCACGTTCTGCAGATGTAGATGCCATTGTTTTTTTTACGTTCTGCAGATGTAGATGCCACTGGTTCTTCACTTTCTGCAGATGTAGATGCCACTGGTTCTTCACGTTCTGCAGATGTAGATGCCACTGGTTTTTCACGTTCTGTAGATGTAGATGCCACCGGTTCTTCACGTTCTGCAGATGTAGATGCCACTGGTTTTTCATGTTCTGTAGATGTAGATGCCACCGGTTCTTCACGTTCTGCAGATGTAGATGCCACTGGTTCTTCACGTTCTGCAGATGTAGATGCCACTGGTTCTTCACGTTCTGCAGATGTAGATGCCACTGGTTCTCCGTGTTCTGCAGATGTAGATGCCACTGGTTCTTCACGTTCTGCAGATGTAGATGCCACTGGTTCTCCGTGTTCTGTAGATGTAGATGCCACTGGTTCTTCACGTTCTGCAGATGTAGATGCCACTGGTTCTTCACGTTCTGCAGATGTAGATGCCACTGGTTCTTCACGTTCTGCAGATGTAGATGCCACTGGTTCTTCACGTTCTGCAGATGTAGATGCCACTGGTTCTTCACGTTCTCCAGATGTAGATGCCACTGGTTCTTCACGGTCTGCAGATGTAGATGCCACTGGTTCTTCACGTTCTGCAGATGTAGATGCCACTGGTTCTTCACGTTCTATATATGTAGATGCCACTGGTTCTTCACGTTCTGCAGATGTAGATGCCACTGGTTCTTCACGTTCTGTAGATGTAGATGCCACTGGTTCTTCACTTTCTACAGATGTAGATGCCACTGGTTCTTCACGTTCTGTAGATGTAGATGCCACTGGTTCTTCACGTTCTGCAGATGTAGATGCCACTGGTTCTTCACGTTCTGCAGATGTAGATGCCACTGGTTCTTCACGTTCTACAGATGTAGATGCCACTGGTTCTTCACGTTCTGCAGATGTAGATGCCATTGTTTTTTTTACGTTCTGCAGATGTAGATGCCACTGGTTCTTCACTTTCTGCAGATGTAGATGCCACTGGTTCTTCACGTTCTGCAGATGTAGATGCCACTGGTTTTTCACGTTCTGTAGATGTAGATGCCACCGGTTCTTCACGTTCTGCAGATGTAGATGCCACTGGTTTTTCACGTTCTGTAGATGTAGATGCCACCGGTTCTTCACGTTCTGCAGATGTAGATGCCACTGGTTCTTCACGTTCTGCAGATGTAGATGCCACTGGTTCTTCGCGTTCTGCAGATGTAGATGCCACTGGTTCTTCGCGTTCTGCAGATGTAGATGCCACTGGTTCTTCACGTTCTGCAGATGTAGATGCCACTGGTTCTTCACGTTCTGCAGATGTAGATGCCACCACCGCCATCTGTTGCGTGGCAAGTTGAACTTACGACTCTCGGTCCGAACAGCTGCAACCGGACATACGAACCAGGTTTGTTCTTATCTCTGAAAGTTCGTAAGTGGAGAAGTCCCCCGTATATCGAACCTTATTTCCCCACAGACTCCCATCGTATACGGTTAATCGGAGGTGCGTTCCTACAGGGGGGGGGGGGAGAAAAAACTCCTTCGGGGCCCCACGGCGTAAATGAAAGTGACACCTCAAGAACGCCGCAAACCTTGTGAAGCACAACGTGTTAATGGGGAGTCGCTAGTTTTACCGATGAATATATTAATAGCCGTGCTTTAAAGTAAGCCGCTAAATGAACATACAAATATACTGCACCAATTGCGGCATGAGAAGCGCGCCGCGCAACACCACACCCGGAAGGGACATGACATTTCACGCCCGGTGCAAATAACCGATCGTGCGTTGTTCCGTTATGATTATTTATTATTCTTATTTCCCCTCGGGGGGGAAAAAAAAATCTTGCTATTTAGGGAGTCAAAATCCCACGACGTTTCTGCGTTGCGAATTCCTTCATTTAAATGTTTTTGTCGCGTCGCAAGCCAAGTTTCGGCGTAAGTTGCCGTATGAGCGGGGGACGACTTGCCGTGCTTGAGAAAATAATAATAATAACCGAGGTCAAAGTGGGTAAGTGCTCGGTAAATATTTCAAATTATTCTATCCTTAATATTATTCTTAAGTGATTTTTTATGCTTTGTGTGTGTGAGCATGGCCGCAGCACAGTAGAGAGATGTTAACGCCCTCGCCTGGTATGCAGGAGGTCGTGGGTTCGATCCCAACCCTGGCGCCTGCTGTATGTTTGGATTTTGCGATGTCTTTCTCCCCGTGGTTGCGTGAATTTTTCTCCGGCTCCTCCGGTTTTTTCCCCTCCACATTTAGAAACATGCATTTAAAGTATTCGGCTGCTATAAATTCCCACGTGATAAGCCACTTTGTTGAAGCTCTACAGGGACTCTACTTACGAACGAGTTGGGTTCCAGAAATATGTTCGTAAAGGCCAACTTTTCCCGTCGATTCCAAACACGTACGGCATGTACACTAAATACGGGGAATGGCTTTAGACGTATAATCCCCTGTAGATGTAGATGCCACTGGTTATTCACGTTCTGCGGATCTAATTGCCATCACCGCCATCTATTTCGCGGCGGTCACAGCGGTCCGAACGGCTGCAACCGGACACACGGACCAAGTTTGTTCGTATCTCTGAAAGTTCGTGAGTCGAATATGCGTAAGTAGAAGAGAGTCCCTGTATACAGATCAGTGGGCTTCACCTGATCAAATACAATATTTTATCCGTCTACCACCATCCCATGGTGACCCGAGTTAAATTCCCGGGCATTTATAACTGACGGTGGCCAAGGG